AAAAAAAAAAAAAAAAAAAATTAATAATAAATAAAGGGCAAAATGCCAAATTGCCAAGGGTATCTATCAACTATCAACTCAACTAACGAGTGTAATAATGTAATTTTATTTTCTTCTAGAACACTTTTTCTCCATTGCCTTATCTGTTTCTAGTTTCCACTGTCCATATATTATCTATACATCATACACAAAAAAAGCAAATGAAAAGAAAAAAAGGAAAGGACCAAAAAAGCCCCATACCACCATACCAGATGTATAAAACAGACGTAGATAAAGTGCACCAAGACATGGAAAGTACAGATAAAACTCAAACGAGTTTTTATTCCAAAATTAATTAGTGGAAAGAGAAGTAGTCTAACAGAATCGGGGTCAAGACGGACTCTGATATCATGTAAGAAACCGGGGCAAAATGGGCCACCAAGATTAATTGGTTTTGGGATGAAATCTCACTAAGGTGCACCTAAACTCACCCTTTTATGGTGCGCTTCATTTGGTGGGACCGCACTCTCTTCTCCCCATTCTAATATGGTATCAGAGCGGACATGTCCTGGGATCTACAATGACTCTCTCTACCCGGCTTGCTCTGGGCTTAGACTTATCTCTCTACCCGGCCTGCTCTGTGGGCTTTGGCTTACGAAGGACTCACAAGTGAGGGGGCGTGTTGAAATATCACTTGTGAGTTATCCCATATTGATTCTATAGGGAAAATTAGTCTAGTATATAAGTCTAGTAAGCTACTCCTCCCATCACTAATTTGTTTTTTGATGGAACCTCACTAAGATGCACCTAGGCTCATTGCCTTATAGTGCGCTTCACTTGGTGCTCATTCCAAAACCAATTGGTGGAAGGAATAACCCAATAGAACTAAGGGCAAAACGATGCGATTACACGCACGTGAAGCGCACTATAACATAACAGGAAAAACTCAGATGAAACCCATGAAGAGTAACTCATTAAACTTATATATGTATATTCCTAAATAAACGATGTGTAACAATTCACAAATGATATTCTAACACGAGACAATTAATCACGGTCATATATATATTTTTTAAATATTTATTTTTATTTTTATCATTAATATTTTTTTTTTGCTTAAAGGTCCCTAAAACCAAAAATTGCCTTAAACCCACAATCCTTCTAGAAGACTTTTCCCTTTCACATTCAGTCACGCATTCTTGACAAATTCGTATATTAAAA